TTATAGCGATTGACTGCGCTTAATTCAAGTGAACACAGCCTACTTAACTGACCGATGAAATGGACAACTTTCTTGAAGTCCTTCTGAAAGTAGATAAGGAGGATTCCTTCTAAAAGCCCTTCAGTCTTATATTTAATCACTTTCACCAGAGTACGGTGAGGGTGGCACAACAGAGCGAGGCTCCGAATTAAGTGCGCCCAATATCCCACCCATCCCACACCAGGGGAAGACATCCATCACACAGTAATCGCGTGTGTGGGAAATTAACGTCTCCTACCCCAACCCTGCAGGAGACGGGTCCTCCATTTGTTCGTCCCTATCCGAGAAGACTAGAATATCTAACCATTTCTTGATGTTATAGAAAGGTAGCAAATTCTTCTCAATTATTTTAAGACCTTGAGTGTTGGTCCGGCTGGGGCTCGGACCCTCGACCTCCCGCACAACAGTCCAGCGCTCTATCCATTCAGCTAACCGGGAGGCGGTAACCGGGAGGCGGTAACCGGTCTTCAGTAAAATGTTTGCCCTGCACCGAAGCTTAACTAAAAGAGCCCGAAGCTTCTGCCATACATCTACCGATATGCAAGAAATAAAAAACTAAGCTTCATTTAAAAGAGATAGTGAGACTAGAAGTTATACAAACGAGACTGAGACGTTTGATGACGTGAGTGTCATATCTGCCATTTTTACTCTATGACTGAATCGAGAGCTCTTTGAAGTAAACACGAAGCAGTAAATCATGTAGAAAGAGATACCTCATGCAGATAATTGTCTTTTCGACTGCGTCGTTTCTTGCCATGCGGCACTTTTGACATCTGTACTTTTAATTACAGAAGCAAAAATTAAAAAGCGTACTTATTGACTGGGTGGGAGGGCCAGACGGAAAAATATTTGGCTCGAGGTCATAACGTACGGACCAAGTGCAGCGGGAAGTAGGGCCGGACGGCTTTATCCTGATCTGCACACGTCAAGTTTACCCAAGGTTTTCTATGGGATTGCACGGGCGGGACCGGACGGGTCACATGATAATATTAAATTTTTTACCCTGTCGGCGAAGATCGTTTAATATGATTTGCTTTGATCAGCCTAGTTGAGGTGAAGAAGGGCTGACGCTCGAAATGTCAGCTTCGGAAACTCATTATGGAGGCCAATTAACATTATCAACTAAATTCAACCAATTATTATATACTAAAACAGTAGATAGCATTGAAAGTGCACGCTGATTGGCTACTTTAACTACGGAGATCCTTTTGCTACTCACCTCCGAGGAACGCGCGCAGAATTTACGTCCGAGGATAGTGCAATCGTTGCAAGAGTAAATGAGTGAAAATCTTTTGTTGTACTATATTATCACATCTTTTAATGTCTACTTGAACGACTATTCACCTTAGTATGGGTAGCTAGCGGCGGATAATCAGAGAGATTTACCAACGCGTTTACGTGATATGGTTTGCCCTTTCATATTTCACGTAAAATGGCGTGAACCTTATTGCTTTAGCTATGCGTGAGCTCACGTCATTTCGAGTCTCAATGAAGCCGTCTCATAAGTCAACGTGAGTTCTTACAGCAACTGGCAAAAAGTGCGGCATTTGGAGGATTTTAAACGTGGCATTTCATCTGCTTCTGTATGACCTACAGGAAATAGTTTGGGTGCATTTTTTCCGCCAACTATTTTATACCCTATGGGGGAAAAAAGGGAAGAAAATCTTACATACACAGTGAAAGCGGGACAGATTACTTTCGCGTAGAAACGCCAAAGCTCAGGCTTAACCTGCAAACGTGACAAAATGGCAGGGAAATCGTGGTCATGTGGTCACTCTTGTCGTTCACGTTTCACGTAAACCCGATACTAAATCACTAAAACCTCGCTTCACTGCTCAGTAAATATCCACCACGAGCCATATGTTCTACCTTAGTACTCCCCACCGACATAGCGCTACAGTTTCTTTGGAATATTACCCACTTCACTCGAAGATCAACGTGGCTTGTCACGAGAGTGGGACAAAGAAAAAAGGAGTTTCCTAAAAATTGAGCCACACACCTTCGGATTCCACATTGCGATGTTTTACCGCCGAGTAACAAAGAGCTTGAAATGTGAGCTAAGCCGTGACAAACGCGTTCTGTTTTGATACCGATGGGATGAGCCTGATGTCCAAAGAATCATATACGTGAATAAAAACAGAAAGAGGGTAAATTTCACGCTCTATATATAATGATTAAGGGAAAGAATAAAGCTTTCAACATCCGCGAATATTGACAATGAAATGCAACATAGATTGATACATAGAAAGTGATGCATATGCTAGTGGGGTGTTCAATTTTTGATAAGAATGCTAATTTTGTATATTCTCGAGCTGACGATCAGATGATGTCGCCAAGCCAATATGTGTGCTTCAATGAGCTTAAAAAATTGCAATCAGCCGCAGAAAAATTATAATACTAGAACAGTTTTTATACGTTTTTTTATTGAGGGAAGCGGAGTCACTTAATGCACTGAAGTGTGGACTGTTTAACTCGGTTATACAGCATTTTTCAAGCTTCACCCGAAAATTAGGGGTTCTAACGTACCGTTTACTTAATACTATTTAAAAAAACTACAGCAGAGCTAACTGATGAGGTCGTGGTACAAACCGATGCCCAAAACTAAACATAATACTACCTACAAGGGGAAAATATAATAATAATTTAAACGGGATGTCATATTAACAAACTATCGAAAGCCGCAAGCACTCAATTGTGGCAAAAATACTTATGAATCCATTTACAGCCTTTGTAATGTTTCCTAGCCTTCCTGCGTGACATAATAAAATTTTCATGTGAGGTAAAACCTATGGTTATTAAGGAACGTTCCAGTCGTTTCGTACCCTCATTGGTATCGTGCTCCTTTAGTTCGTACCCACATAGTCAAACTTCGATTATCCAAATTTTTCAATTTTTCGGACTTGCTTCTCTGCTTCCATTTCAACTTTTTGAGAATATCAATCCGTCCCATTCAAGATCCGTGACAACTTTTTTTTCCATCAAACAAAGCATATCTAATGAAATCTCATCGGACCTGCATTTCTTTCGCTTTATGAAGTTGTCGAATGTTTTAGGAAGTGTTTGACATAAATGGAAACAAAAAAAAAAGCTTGTGGCTATTTCACTGACGCAGCTTCAAAGAAAGATAGACTCACTAGGTACTGATAAATTGTGTTTTCCATGTTAAGTATCAGTTTCTAAGTAAGGTACGGTTTCTTAGGTTAAATAACAATATAATTAGTTATGCTGACGTGGCGTTAATTTATTAAACAATCGATCGAGATTTGTTTACGTGTTCACTGAATATTCTGAGCGGGTAAACGACCCGACACAAGCTAAATAAACGAGAAAACGAAAAACAAAAACAAAATCTAGGTTCGCAACGTATGAGTACAAAACTGACATAAGAGACGAAACCTCCTTTGGTATGAAACTATCAGATATAATATCATGGTCAGTATCTACTTTTTTTAATTTCTCGAAGAAATTAGCTAATTTTGTACAACTACTCTGAAATCGAGAGTAAACATGCTACATGCTAATATCTTCGCGTGAATTTAGGTTCGAATCGTCTGAGTTCGAAACTGAAATAAGTGACGGAAGTTCCTTATTAAATAACATCATGCATTAACAATGCTAATTAGTAGTGTTTGGTTGTTACAAAAAGATCACTTACGTGTATAGCACCTCCCAGATCACTCTGTGCTCTTACGAGGCCGGATAACAGCGTTCAGAATTCTTCTTAAGGTGTGGTAACCACTCGATCTGTTACTTCCTTGGTTCTATATTATAGAACTTAATTTAATTCATGAAGAGATGATACGAAGCAAGTTTAGGGAAGAAGTCAAAATATATTGGGAAGAAGAGCTTGATCCATTTCCATAAAATCCCTTTTTCTAAGTTTTTCCACCATCGTATAGTTTCAGTTCTTAGCTGCAGTCGGGCTTGAATAGAATTTAGGATTCATTCCGTGTCTATACTAAGGGTTTTATTTAGCTTAGTGGTTGTTTTGATCCAGAATTAAACTTTACCAGGTTTATTCGACACGACACGACTAGGAATGGTTTCGCTGCCCCCAGATAGGAAATCATTCCCTTGGAAGTTATCCCTGGCAGTTCTTTTTGGATTTCCTTCGAAGATTCTCGCGGTAATCGATTTGTGAGTGCGACGGGGTGTCTTGGCCATGAGCAAAATTCGAGAAGAGATGATCGCCTTTTGTCGGAAACTTTGTACAACGGTTGCGAATCCCGTAGGGAGCTGAGTGAACCAAATACGTCTAACTATTTTTACTCTGGTTTCTTCAAGAAAACAGGAAATGAAGTTCTTTATTTCGTTGCTGATAACTCTGGCAGTGGCAGATTCATTTCCCTTGGAAAATGAAGAAAACACCGCGCCAGAAACGGAGGTAATGTACCGAAAAACTTCGTGTGTTTCAGATTAGCTACCACGTTCGCAGCGTTAATATATTTTTCACATTTAAAGTAACTTCTTGTTTGTTTGTTTGTTTAAAAAGTTCTCTTCCTGGTCTAGAAAACGCCCCCCTCTTTTTTTTTTTCTTTTAACTTCATGATGTGAACTGAAACAAACTAAAAGTTATCACAGCTTCAATGACGACTTGGTTGTCGAAAGTAATCATGGATTGCGTCGACTCTGGGAAAGCGTTAACTCTCGAGTCGTCAGTTTTCGAAACTCTTTTAAGATGACCAATTTACATTTTCAATACGTAATATTTTGTAATACCCCACCGATACAACACCACAGTTTCTTTAAAAACTTACTCTCTTTGTTCAGCCGCTATTGTATTGGCTTTGCTTCACTACTCCTCATATTTATTCTAAGAAATTCGCGACAATCTGTCAACCGATCATATGCTAAACTAAAGCCAAGCACGACTTGATCATTCCCTTTTAATCCCCGCATTAGACAGTTTATTTGTATACATTCCAAGTTTTCATTTTCCCTCTTTAATAATGTGCTTTCTTCAGTCGGCCGTTATAATCGACCTTTGTTTCATCCCAATCAATCGAAAAGTGCGCTACCAGTGTTCTTGTGTTTTTTTTTCCTCTTTTGTATCACGATACTAATCAAACAGCCTACGCTAACAGCCCGGTTAAGTACTGATTGTTTTTACGTGATCATTATTCAACGTTATCATTATTATTTGAAGATTTTAGGGCCCCGTGTACAAGATACTGATGATCTAAGGATGCAACCCAAGATACCCATGATTGGTAAGTGCATTTTAAACTTTTTTAATGCTCTTTAAAAGTGTCACGAAACAGTTTTTTGATGCTTGAACAACGATAAATCTCCTTATACATATATAACTGGCCAACGTTTTAAGTCTTCTGCATATATATGAGAAATGAAATAGTTAAAACAATCAATGTAATTGCGATAAACTCACGTTGTAGAAGCACTGTACAAATGTGAGTTTGAGCAATGCTCCAAAATGTGTGCCTACCGCACGCAGGCCAGAAGAGGAAACTACCAGCCAATGAACGCCAATCCATTCAGTTCAAATTTCCGAATTTCAGAAGAAAATTTAAAATAATGATAATTATTGATTTCATATATAAGTTACCCTTGCAGAAACACCTCTGAATGATCCCTCTCAACAAAAGGATTGGGATGGCAACGTTGATTGGTCGCCTAGGGGTGTCAATGTTGGTGGAAGAAAAGAAAATGTTAAAAGGGGTTGGAACATCGGTGGCAGTATTGGGAAGAGCAATGGCAGATCGAGTTGGGGCATCAATGGCAATATTGGAAAGAGCAATGGCAGATCGAGTTGGGGCATCGGTGGCAGTATTGGGAAGAGCAATGGCAGATCGAGTTGGGGCATCAATGGCAATATTGGAAAGAGCAATGGCAGATCGAGTTGGGGCATCGGTGGCAGTATTGGGAAGAGCAATGGCAGATCGAGTTGGGGCATCAATGGCAATATTGGAAAGAGCAATGGCAGATCGAGTTGGGGCATCGGTGGCAGTATTGGGAAGAGCAATGGCAGATCGAGTTGGGGCATCAATGGCAATATTGGAAAGAGCAATGGCAGATCGAGTTGGGGCATCGGTGGCAGTATTGGGAAGAGCAATGGCAGATCGAGTTGGGGCATCAATGGCAATATTGGAAAGAGCAATGGCAGATCGAGTTGGGGCATCGGTGGCAGTATTGGGAAGAGCAATGGCAGATCGNATCAATACTGTGATAAATCCAGGCTATGCCTTAGGCTATTAAAGGTCATGCAACAAGAAAAAATTTTTGGTTCACTGAATAACCTTTGGTTAGATATTGACCAATACTTTTAAGGGAGTATAGTTTCAAGAAATTTGCCAAGATGATTTTTTATTTCATTGTACAACTGCAAACATGTTTCTTGAAGACACAACAGTTCATTATTAAACATCTATATCTGTAATTGGTGAATTTTATTCAATCCATCCAAAGACTTCAATTTTTTTCATCCCCCTTAAAAACATTAGTGGTAATAAAATCTTCTAAGAGTGTAAATGTCTGTCATCAGTAGTATGTGTTAATGCAGCTTCTTTGTATTGAGAAAACGAAATAAAAGAAAACATCTAAATAAGAGTTCTAAGCATTACAAAACCTTGAGACAGTAATAGATTACTGCAGAATCAAGTCTTGAGGACAATGCACTTGAGCTTGTACATGCCTAACCAACTTATTGTTGTTCATTTAATTCATTTTGATTCTGAGTACAAATAAGTTGTTGTTGTAGTTGTAATAATAATACTAGCTAGTATGTACTTGAAACATAAAATATTAGGAGTTTGCACAATTCGAGGTTCCTATTCAAGTAAAAATAAAAAGAAGAAGGCATCCACATTATCTTTGGCGATCTGAAAAAATTCTGCATCATAATAAATTATTTCACAGAAGAAAGTTGTCTCATTGATATAACTGAAAAAGTCATTCCATTGGTAATGGTATTCATGGTTTCTCTTCAGTGACAGCTGCTTGGCAACGGGGTTTTTGTAAATATGAGGTACTCCATCAAAATCAGTTGAGCTTTCCTTGACAACTTTGGTTTCGAAAAGTCCAAATGGGAGGTAACCATTCCCCCCAGCTGAGCTGTCATACACTTTCCTATCTCGTGAGCAACTAAGCCATGGTGACCAATGGTTTACTATCACTTTGATGTTACTTTGACCTGGTTAGCAGAATATTGAACTGCAAAAAACGAAAAAAAATTAGCTTAGTAATGCTTTTGTCCAGAAAGCATTGCAATAATGCTAACTAAACATAAAAATCTATTTTGTACACTCTCATCTACTGAAAGCTTAATTAACTAGCATTCATCTTTCTTGGTTGCATGTACTATATTATCTCAACCACAAATTTAAAAAACAGGCTATTGTTTAACTTAGAACAGCAAATATCTCCATCTTAATTATATGCTTTACCTAAACAAAACAATATTCTTTTTGTTAATTCTGGACAAATTTTCATTTTCAATGTTATGAAATTTTCTTGGTATTTTGATCTTAACCTTGTAGCTATATATAAGCTTAAATACAGTTCAATTTAGGAGCTGATCACCACTTAAATATATACATTTTTTATTTTGTAGTCATTTCCTCCAGAGGATTTCCTCACCTTAATATTAAGAAACATCCGACGACTTTATTTAAGCTTATATTTGCACACAGAAGTTAGGATATCCCAGATTTTACTTACGTTTCTTATCATGAAGGTAGCCAGGTTCAGCGAAAAACTTGTAGGCTTTCCTGGTATGTTCGCATCGCCTGCGGA